TTTTCTGACCGAGCAATTTCAGACCTCCAAAATTTAGATGGCCATACCTCAGATGCCATAGCAATGTATTGTCCTTCACACTCGCTTTCAAGCACTTCGCCATTTCTGTCTGAATGTTCAGTGTGAACATTCTGTTTTTCGACATTGGGACTCTGGCCAACAACTGCCTCTTCTCATTTAGCAGCTCCAATTGACAATTCACCATGTGGACTTCATAATTCTTCTCCATCAATTGACCCAAACTCAGGATGTTACTAGTCATGTCTGGGACATAGTACACATCACTGATAAATTGTTGTGAGCCATTCTTCAGCCGGATGAGTATAGTTCCTTTGCCTTTGATAGGAACCTTCGAGGAATCTCCAAGTACGACATTTCCTTTCACTGATTCATCCATATCCACGAACATGTTTCTTTTTTCACACATGTGGTTGCTTGCTGCATTATCCAGATACCACATGTTATCTCTCGGTTTTTCATCTCCTTGATGTGACAGCATCAATGTGCCTTTGACTTCTTCTTGCACGTTGTTTGCTATCTCCTCCACTTCTTTAGGCGGACTCCAACATTCTGATGCATAATGCCCGTACTTCGAACAATTATGGCACTGGACGTTGGATTTATCACGACCTTCATTTGATCTCCAACTTCCTCTTCCACGTCCACGACCTCTGCCTCTGGTGGACGATTCATAGTTGTTCGTGGTGAAATTTACTCCATCTCTACTTTGATATGCTCCTCGAGCTCTGCCTCTTCCTCTGCCTCTGTAGTTGCCTCTGCCTCGACCTCTGTATTGAACTCCTCCTCGTGCGCCTTCTTTCTCCTCAGTGGTAGCTTTTGTAGCTAACACTTGTTCTGACGATTCTTCATTTCTTTTATTTAATCTTTCTTCTCTGGCTTGTAATGAACCGATGACTTCATCAACCGTCATTTTTGACACGTCCTTAGCTTCTTCCATGGCCACCACCACATAATCAAACTTTGGTAATAATAACCATAGAATTTTCTCCACCACTTTGGTCTCTTCAATTTTCTCCCCATACTGCTCAGTTTGCTGACGACTGACTTCACACGGGCGGTGTAATCTGAAACAGATTCACCTTCCTTCATTTTAATGGCTTCAAAATCTCCTCTTAGTGTCTGAAGTCGAACCTTCTTTACTGGTTCTACGCCTTGCATTTCCTTTTGAAAAATTTCCCATGCTTCCTTCGCTGTGGTAGTATCTGCTATTTGATCGAACATCGATTCATCAAGACATTGATGAATTAGAGTGAGTGCCTTTTGATCACTCTTTCTATTTTTTCTCAATACCTCCTTTTCAGCAGGAGATAACCGAGAATCCTCCGCAGGAATCTCGTAACCTTTCTCAACAATATCCCAAGCATCTTGGGATCCCAGTAAGGCTCTCATACGGATGCACCAATTTTTTTAATTGGTTTTGGTAAGGTGGGGAAATTGAATGGGGAAAGTGGATTTTTCGGCCATGGGACAATCGTGATAACAATAGCACGAGAAATTCTTTTCTGATGTGGAAGTTCAGACTATGCCGCAACCACAGAGCATACTCGGAAATAACTCGGGCTCTGATACCACTTTGTTGGAAATAAATTAATTATTTCCTTTCTCAACTTGGTGGGCACGTTTTTGGGCTAAGAAAATGGAATTTGGAATTTTGATATGATGGCCACGTTTTTGTACAAGGAACGAAAGCTTTTGGGTTTTTATAATTGGAGATTGGAAGAGGGATTTTGGATTGGCAGAGGAGTGGAGAAGGAAACTCTTTCTTTATTGATACTTGCTTTGAACTCTCTGCTCTACTCCATACACGGTTACATCCATACCTATTTATAGGCCAATTTCACTCAAATATCTACTCTCAACCGACTTACATTGTGGCTCCCATTTTAGTTTCGTTTTGTTTATTGCAACTAACTCATTAAATTCACAACTAACAACTTCTCGACACTTCTCAATCTCCCTCACGTAGATCACTTCTAGGCCTTTCTGATTTCTTTTGCTAGATATTTTTATTAATTAAGCTTTATTTAATTGCAATAGACACAACCAAATTTCCAGCTTCTTCTTCACCTGACTTGATTTCTTCTTTGAACCTCAATGAGAATGATTTTGGTTCACAATCCATGATCACATCAGCACCAAAATATAAATTATTATTAATGCGACGAGAGGTACACCATTGGATACCGTTGGACCAATCGCAACCTAATGCTACTAATGAAACCTTTGAAAATGAAGCATTGGAATTGGTAGCTTAATCATAAAAGGTTAACAAAGTGAAGCTGATCAATCTTTGGGGCAAGAGTGCTCCTAAATGGCGGAGATTGATGAAAATATGTCATTAAGGTTTTTATATTTTTTTATTTCATAAATTATTTACTTGTGTTTAGTGTTGTTTTTAGAATAATTAGTTGGGTTTAAATACTTTTTATAACAATTAGGTATTATGTAAGAGAATTTGTTGAATTAAATATTTTTTAATTGTGTAGTATTTTATTTACTAAGCTCTCTCTCCCATCCCTCTTCTTCATCCATACTCGCTGACAATTTCTCTCCCCTTATTTAGAGCGGAATGTTTGGTACCGGTATTTGAGATATACAAAATACCGTATCGAATTTGTCTATATTTGGTATTACCGAATACAAGTATTATTTCTTGTGATTGGATTGAATTTCAATTGTTATTCGGTATTAGGGATTACGAGATTGGGATCAGTATATACCAAAAATACCGATCAATACCGAAATATAAGCTAATGTGTATTTTATCCTCTCAACTAGACTCGGTCATTCACTACTACACGACCCTCAACCACCAAGAGTGTCATTTAATTATACATAGATCATTCTATCACTATTTCACTACTTAGAAGTCCCCATCCAACTCAATTTTGACGTTGTTTACCACTAAAAAATTACTTAATACTACATTGATTACTTTCAAGGAGTGGTAGTGGTTTATAAGGCTAACTTAACCATATTAATTAAATTGGTTTAAGTTGGTTCAAGCATGACGTCATCCCAGGGGGGTCAAGCATGATGTCATCCAAGGGGGTCATGCATGACACCACAATGGTGTCAAGCACCAAGTACCATTGCCGCCTACCTACCCTTGCACTCGGGGTATCGAGCATGTGGTGGCAAAAGAAGGTGAAAATTGGCTAAGTGTTGAGACTCAACCACAAAAGGGTCAAGCATGACATCATCCCAGCGGGCAGGGGTTCAAGTATGATGTCATCCAAGGGGGGTCATGCATGACACCACAATAGGGTCAAGCACCAAGTACCATGGCCGCCTACCTACCCTTGCACTCGGGATATCGAGCATGTGGCGGAAAAAGAGGGTGAAAATTGGCTTTAAGTGTTGAGACTCAACCATAAGGGGGTCAAACATGACATCATCCTAGGGGGGTCGAGCATAATGTCATGAAAGGGGGTCAAGCACCAAACACCATGGCTACTATCAATCGCGTGCTAGGGTGTCAAGCATGATGTCGTACAAGGACATAATCACAAGTAGCAGACATGTTATGCCTCATGGGTCGTTATATCAGCCATGTATATCATCACATGGTAGACCACCTTGTCAAGACCCTGCAAGCATGATGCCACCCCAAGGGGGTCAGTGTGCATCCATCAGACCCCTAAGCACACGAGTACTATCAAGCATGAAGCCCTCACTCACCAAGCAAGACACCTCCATGGCACAAGGGGCTAGCTATCAAGTGAAGTCATCATGGTGCAAGGTATCAAATGGCAAGCCAGTAAGGCAGGCAATGTGTCAAGCAGGCTACATCAAGTACCAAGCATGGAAGGCAGCGATTACAAGAGGCAGTTACATGGTGGTTACAAGTGATGGCTATAAAATAGGGGACACGAAGACGAAACAAATGTTCCACAACCAAACATTTGACACACAATGCCAAAATTTATCTTTTCTCTGCAAATTATCCTTAGCTTTTAGTTTCTAGAGCTCTCACTGAACCTCCATAAGAGTAGAGTAACGTAATTTAGCTTTGTTCCCAAAAAACCATCAAAAACATCAAACACCCTCATTCGAACATTGTTCGGAGAGGAGTGAACCGTGTTAGTTTCGTTGTTCAAGAAGTCGAAGGTGCATTCATTTTGTTCAAACACAAGTTTTTCCTCGCCGGAAACAAACGTTCCAATTTAAGTCACTCTCGTCTCTCACCTAATCTCTTGTTATTTTCATAACACGAAAAAGCAAACAATAGTACTAGTCGTCTCTCGACCTCCAATTCGTCAAATTAAAGATTACCAATGATAAGAACTTGAGATGTCACCTCACCTTCATTCTCCTTATCCATATCTTAGCTTTAGGCAAACTCAAGACTATTTGCTTAGTCGCTTCGCCCTAAATTAAACAATTAAATCTAATTTATATATTTAATTATTAATTACAAAGGTTCTTCATTTCGCATTCGATAATACCAATTGGATACCAAAATATTTAGATTGAGATTGGGATACCGAAATTATTTAAGGATTTGGATTGGGATTGATTTTAGTTTGTAATATGATATTCGGGATTTTGGTATTTGATATTTGGATACCGATACCGTACCGATTTCATCTAATTCTTCATAAACATACTCATAATTTCTTTAAATTTGTATGCATCTATGCTTAACATCAAATGGCCAAAATTGTTCTTAAACAATGCCTAAGGGGTCGTTTGGAAGTTGCGAATGTTAAATCGTTGCATGGTAATGAATCACCATAATATAAATGCATGTATTGATACAATGGATGCATTTTACCGGGCTAAGATAAGGTGACTAAGAGGGGAGGCCTTAGTCACATGACTAAGTAAATCTCAGCCCTTCCACATCATTAAAATCCAATGGCTCAAATTAATCTAACTTAATGAAGGACAATGTAGTAATTTCCTCTAAAATTTAATTTATTAATTAAAATAAAAAAAACAAACCTGCTCGGCTGCTCCTCTCGCTTCCGCGCGTGATGGGACTCTCCGCCGGTCCAACAAATTGCGTGGGGATTTTCTCCAGCGATGGCGTGGGGATTTTTCCCTTCGGCGGTGGAATTGGGTTTTGGTGGCAGTGGATTGTGGGTTTGGTGGACGATGTCTTTGGAGGCGAAAAGAGGTCGACCGCCGTCGTGGTCATCGGGAGCAGTGAGCATGGCGGTGATCAGACCGCCGGTGCTTGTTCCGGCGATGAAGGCGACTAGCCTTCACCGGGATAGACTGCTAAGGCGATTCACACATATCTCCACTACTGGAATGAATTCCAGTACAAAGCACTGAATTGATTGACTCTCGCACAACCAATTCACCACTATCAATCAAGGAAGCTCTCTTAACCTAATCAGATTCTATCTATCATAGGTTAAAGCAGAAATCAAGAGAAGATGATCAAGCTTCAATTGACTCTATAAATCATGCCTCAATCGATTATAATCAAACAATATAGCATCCAAACTTCATACAAGAAAGATCCTAACACATGGAACTAGAGTTCCTCAAAACCTAAGTGAAGGAAAGTTACTCCATAGAGAAGAGAGAGACTGCAGAAATCTTATCTAGATCTTCAATCTCCATCTCCAAGCTTGATTCCCGAGCTCCAATGGTGAAGAAATCCTCCAAATAGCTCCAATAATGTTCCCAACTAGCTCTCTCTCTAGGGTTCGTCCCTTGGGTGTTTGGGAACCAAAACCCAGCTCTGCCTTTCCTTTGGCTCGAATCTGCCTAAAAAACCTGATTCTGGGCGAAATACGGGCAGAAATACGGTCGTAATTCTTCCATGCCTGTATTTTGCCCAAAACACGCGTTTTGGTTAAGCTTCAGTGCATCCAAAGCTTCTCTCGGCAGTGAAAATACGGGCATGGGAAGGGAAAATACGGTCGTAATTCTCCTGCCCGTATTTCTTCCTCCGCTCCTGTTTAATGCTTCGTTTCTCCCTCGTTTGGATTCTGAATCAATCGCCGTTTGATCCCAGACGCTCGTATCTCATCCTCTATCTTTTCATGACAAGATTCCATTATTATTTGTCCATAATATGAGGTAGAAGTCCATTTTTCCTCAGGTCATGCTCGTGTTTCTTCTCCCGAATTGCCAAATGATCTCCGATTAACTTGAAACTTGCGCCTATGCTTCAATTTACATGATAGGACCTGAAATGTGACAAAGGAACACAACCTAGCATAAAATAGTCCAAGAAAGCAAAAACTCAAGCCAAAATTATCAAGAAACGAGGGTGCAAACATGTGCAAATATGACGTTATCAAATTTCCCCACACTTAACCGTTTGCTTGTCCCCAAGCAAACCAAGTCAGATACAAGGTAAGCTCAAAACATTTTAACCATGAAACCCTTGGGGACATATCATATAGGCACAAAACATGGGAATCATACTGGCTTTTAGACATCAACACATGAACAACTTCAACAGCAACCTGGACGACCACCATAGAGGACATTCGAGTGCAGCAAAATCGGGTAAAGGAAGAGTCTCCCTTCTGTTCACCAACCAACCTAGACTTGACTCAACCACTTATTCAAGACAGTCAGCTCATCCATAAAACTCAAGACATCAGAATCAAGACCGAGCCATCTAGGTCCTCACTGTGGTAAAGAGTGTAAAGAACAAGGAAATGAATCGCTCACTCTCGACCAGTGGGGCCAGGACAATTTGATGCGAAAAATGCGCATACTTATTCTCTCAATCCATAACGTCTCTTCACCATGACGACAACCTCTAAATGTTAGAGTTCACATAAATGGATGTCATCACTAACTAATCCGGAGGTCTTAGACACAAGTTCAAATGACTGGCTAGGGTCTAGGACATGGGGAAATGCCTTTTAGGTGGTGGAAGTATTCATAGCACAAGGTTCCACATTTCTAAACCCAACAAACTCACAGTCAATCAAATCACTTACTTTCCTTATGCCATTCTGCATTACTCAAATTCTTTAGAGAACAAGAGCGAAGGAGGTCACATAAATGTTAGTATTTCCAAGCCAGACTACTAAGAAACACTACTTAATGAGCACTATTCAGATTTTTGGTGGTGACTCTCTTTTGCTTTCATTCATTTTTTTCTTTCCCCTTTTTTTTTCATTTCTTGAGAGAACCACCACCTATTCACATTTTTCAAACACATGCCCAACTTTTTAAGAACTACCTCCAACCCTCACATTACATTTAGCAAAACAGCAGAGAACATGTAAAAACCACTATGTGGAACCTTCTAAGAGATGCAAAAGGGTGATTTTCCATTGTAGACCGAAAGAAAGGATAACACACGGCTCAAAAGGGCTGACTAGGGGGTATGACACATCAGGACAGTCAATTTGGTCGTGGACTAATCCTATGCCTCCATCATCATAGCTAATGACAACGTGAATGCTACACATCATGGAAGAGGGAACTATCGCACAAGAAAGAAACGAGGAGGCTCAAATCTCACATGGCTACCTATATGCTCTATCTCTCATTCTGATTCCCTGAACTAGATGCATAAAAGACTGTCAAGAAAAAGTGATCCATCCAAGTCACAGTTGGTAAGCAAACAGTTGAAAAACTGAACCCCTACACAACTCTACTGCACGTCTCAGTCATCATTATAGGTTGTCCTAATCACAATATAGTTGTCATGCATTCATTCGAAAGCCATTCGATTGACCAATTAAACTCACAATGCCAATACAATCAAGCAAACAATAGTACTTGGAGCCCTCAAATCTCAAGATTTGGACAGTGGACTAGGCTCCAAGCACACACATACAACCAAACATTCACACGCATACATAATCGAACACCCCCCCCACTTAAGCACGACATTGTCCTCAATGGAGGAAAGATAAGGAGGGTAAAATGAAGTTACCAGATCAAGGGTGAATGATGGTGGACGGGGCAGGCGGTGCATTCTAGGAGGAGAGAGTAGTCGGAACACAAACAACACACAAAATCTCACAAAGGTTGAGTTATTGACTCTAACATCAAAGAACAAAACTGACTCAACTGAGGAGAGATAGGGAAAGAAATGCGAACCGACTAGTTGGGTTTCCTCCCAACAAGCGCTTCTTTCACGTCGTGAGCCGGACGATAGCTCTTAAGTTTCGGTCCATGCTAGAACCTCTTTGAAGTTGAGGTTCTCATCTATGAGGTGGAGTCTCACATGTAAATCATGGTCGGTGCAAGCCTCTTCCACCTCAACTTCATCCTCAGCCTGGACACCACTTGCTTCTTCAACCCCCCTGCCTTCATTAGAATGTGGCCTCTCCCCTTGGAAAAGATCAAGAACTTCCTCTTCTTTACTTTCTTCCTCATCCTCCACAACTTCTTCCCTCACCCTTTCTCGCTCTTCTTCTTCTAGCAAAAATTGGAGAGCAAGTCGCCATGTAATTTCTTCAATGAGATCATCTTGCATCTCATCGCTTGGGCCCAGCATATCAGAGTGGAAATGGGGACAGTTGTAATCTACCACCAGAGGATACACTTGATCATGATTATCATGGGAGCTTTCCGTGACAACTTCTGTATGCTCCTCAACATCCTCATGATTTCCTTCTTCTTCCTTCTCCTCTACTTGTATGGCAGCATAAAGGTTGTCTTGAGAAAACTGTGCACAAGCTTTCTCAATGACCTCTATGTCCTTCTTTATGCTCCGAAGGGTATCCTCTATTTCACGGGGAAAGAAGAAGTCAGGTTGGGCCATGGCATGGATATGAGGATCCATCTCGGGAAAGGATCTCTCAGGTACTCGAGCAATATGCTCCACGAGAAGCCTCAAGTGATAGTTTGGATCTGGCTGTGGAGTGTAGCATGGCTCTGCCGGATGGCCCGTGAGGGCTGTGGCTAAATCAAGATATGATGGCCCTTCTAGTTGCGGGAGGAATTCTTCTGGATAAGTAGGTTGTTCTTGATATGCCCAGGGGTCTGATTGTTCTCCGTAGTAAGGGGGTTGGTACTGGGACCCGAATCCAAAGTCCTCTCCTCCTTGATTGCTCCAGGAAGTCTCGGGGTAATACCACTCAGATGGTGGTGGATACCCCCACTGGTTAGAGAAGCCATTAGGATCCATGATTCAGATCTGCACCAACAAAAACAAAAACACCCAAGTGAAAAGCAAGGGTGAAAAAAAAACGCTAAAGTAACAAACTTCTGCCTTTCCTAATAATCTAGAAAGTCCCCGGCAACGGCGCCAAAAACTTGACACGCTACGACACAACACCTAACAATGGCCAAGTGTAACCAATCAAAGGGACTGCAGTATAGTGGCACAAGTAATAAATATCGAATCCACAGGTCTCTAGAGTTACTATTACTCAGCTTCAGTTCATTATCTAGCAAACTAGATTAAGGATTGATTTACTAAACTACTCTACTAAGTACTCTACTAATTACAAGTTGGGAACTCACTTAGGTATGATTCCCCCTAGCTCCTCAATTAGGTCCAAGTTGCAATTACCTTTGGTTGGTCTACTGTTGATTAAACTGCGGAAGATCCTAAATTAGTTTGGAATCTCTTAAGCTGACCAAGCCCTCTTAGACAGAATACCCGGAAGGCGACTAGCCTTCACCGGGATAGACTGCTAAGGCGATTCACACATATCTCCACTACTGGAATGAATTCCAGTACAAAGCACTGAATTGATTGACTCTCGCACAACCAATTAACCACTATCAATCAAGGAAGCTCTCTTAACCTAATCAGATTCTATCTATCATAGGTTAAAGCAGAAATCAAGAGAAGATGATCAGGCTTCAATTGACTCTATAAATCATGCCTCAATCAATTATAATCAAACAATATAGCATCCAAAATTCATACAAGAAAGATCCTAACACATGGAACTAGAGTTCCTCAAAACCTAAGTGAAGGAAAGTTATTCCATAGAGAAGAGAGAGACTGCAGAAATCTTATCTAGATCTTCAATCTCCATCTCCAAGCTTGATTCCCGAGCTCCAATGGTGAAGAAATCCTCCAAATAGCTCCAAGAATGTTCCCAAGTCGCTCTCTCTCTAGAGTTCGTCCCTTGGGTGTTTGGGAACCAAAACCCAGCTCTGCCTTTCCTTTGGCTCGAATCTGCCTCAAAAACCCGATTCTGGGCGAAATACGGGCAGAAATACGGTCGTAGTTCTTCCATGTCCGTATTTTGCACAAAACACGCGTTTTGGTTAAGTTTCAGCACATCCAAAGCTCCTCTCGGCAGTGAAAATACGGGCATGGGAGAGGAAAATACAGTCGTAATTCTCCTGCCCGTATTTCTTCCTCTGCTCTTGTTTAATGCTTCGTTCCTCCCTCGTTTGGATTCTGAATCAGTCGCCGTTTGATCCCAGACGCTCGCAGTCTTGTCCTCTATCTTTTCATGACAAGATTCCATGGTTATTTGTCCATAATATGAGGTAGAAGTCCATTCTTCCTCAGGTCATGCTCGTGTTTCTTCTCCCGAATTGCCAAATGATCTCCGATTGACTTGAAACTTGCGCCTATGCTTCAATTTACATGATAGGACCTGAAATGTGACAAAGGAACACAACCTAGCATAAAATAGTCCAAGAAAGCAAAAACTCAAGCCAAAATGATCAAGAAACGAGGGTGCAAACATGTGCAAATATGACGTTATCAACCATGTTTATCATTTTTGTCAACCATGTTTGTAATGTTTTTTATGTCTAAAAAACAACCTGGTTGACTTTTGGATGGAACTCCGCTATATAGGGATGGAGCCTCCAAAGTCAACCCTGGTGTTTTTTCCAGTTCGTATGGATTGTCGGTCTAGTTTGTCATTTTTGTCCTCCATGTTCGTAATGTTTGTATGTCTAAAAACACCTGGGTTGACTTTGGGAAGGAGCCCCTCTATATAGGGATGAAGCCTCCAAAGTCAACTTGGGTGTTTTTCCAGTTTGTATGAATTTTTTGTCTAGTTTGTCATTTTTGTCCACCATGTTTGTATGTCTAAAAAACACCCGGGTTGACTTTGGGAAGGAGCCCCTCTATATAGGGATGGAGCCTCCAAAGTCAACCTGGTTTTTCCATAATACCCAAACTACCCATGTCATTAATTAAATAGCCCTTCCCACTTTTTAACCATCAGATTGTTATATCCAGAACTAAGGGCTGAGAGGGGCTTAGTCAAGTGACTAAGCACCCCCATTGGTTGTTGAGATTCTACTTTATGCATTGATTTACATAAAGTTACTTTTATGGGAAAATGTCACGTTTATCCTCAACTTTTAGAATAAGACAAAAACTATTAGGGATATAAATGGAAAATAAATGTGACACACATCTAAAACCAACAATCATAACAATCACAACTTTTAATTGAGATTGTATAATGCATCATTTTCTATGATTGTTGGTGGGACCTACCTAAAACAATGCGTGTATTGTTTGAAACTGTGACACTTCCAAATATTGTATTGTGCACAATACATGTATTCAACAAACACAACTCTAACAATCACAACTTCCAAACGACCCCTAAGTTTCTAAAAAGCAAGCGTATGCACTAGGTAGAAGGAACACACGTTGCCTTGGTTATTAACGATGGACAAGGCATCCCGAGAGCACCGACACCGTCCGAAAGTGCCTAGGTAGATTGAGGTGTGTTGGGAAGCAACGACGCAAGGTTTTGAGCGGGTCAGTGATGTAATCTGAGAGTTCTCATGCGGTACTCAAAACAACGCCTCGCTCGAGCTTCTGCTAGGTTATTACAGTTAAATCGACACTTGGTCCATTTTCTTTCTTTGCACGCCAAGAAATGATATTTGCTAGGTTACTTAGAGACAAACTCCTTAGAGCAACTTCTTCCTTCTGTTGTGTTTTTCTCTCACAATCAGTTTTGCCATTTAGGGTTTTGTAATGAGAGGTCGAGGGAATGATTTTGATTTCTGGACTTGTGCCCCTAGACCATTGTGAGATATTTTACTATATTTGCTTTCAACAATTAGAAAATATTTAGGCGAACCTCAAAACTCACTTTACCCCTATCACATTTTTAACCTCGACAATACCAAAGTAATTAATAATTATATTGATTTTTTCCATCTCATCCCTCTTCTTCCCCAAATTGGTCAACAGGTTTTCTTCGCTTTTCTTTCCCAATTTCTACCTTCAATCCCGCAAAGATTCTATCCCCAGTCCCTGTAAACTTATGTCTCTATCCCTATCATCTAGAGTGGCAAGTCTCAATTCAATCTAATCCATATACTAAAGTATCCAATTAGTCCAATCTATTTAAATCAAATACATTTGATCTAAATCCAATTGGATTGGTGGATTTATGGATTGATCCATGGATCCAATGGAAAGTTACAATTTAGTATTGTTGGACGCAGCGGGTGAGAATAGAAGGTAAATATATTGCACTAATGAATCACATACTTGTAAGAAGTTCACAGGTAAGTTGGACTTGGTGGCAGAGCCTCCAGAATTACGGTAACCAACTTACTTAGATCAATTTACTTCGGTAATTTAATAATGCAATATACTACGACTATCCTCAAAATAACAACAAGCATAGACATTAAGTAAATAACACCAAGGATTTACGTGGTATAGCCTGATTTTGGGCCAGTCCTCGGGAACAACAGCTCCGAAGTATTTCTTCACTATAACAATGGTAGGTTACAGAGATTTTCTCGATACAAGAAATAGAACACATAGTTTTTCCCAAACAACCTCACTATTTCACTCACAAGTAAATCTCCTATCTACCCGTGGTAGTGAAAACGTTTCACTACCAGAACCCACAAGTAAATAATTGCTCAAAGAGCGTACAAAGGAAGGCTACACAGAAAGAAACGAGAGAGGAAGGATTGGTGTGGGATGCAGAATGAACCAATGCTAGATGCCTTTTATAGGCCAATGGGAGACAAGGGAATTGAATTCCCATATGCTACCTCACCTCCCCAACTGCCGCTTACACTTCTGCATTATCTATTTAATTTGTTTTAATTTCCTTTCACAAATACCACCGCCAACCTTGTTGGTCGTTGCCTTGCCACATGAGCCGGGCCCAACCATTCTCCCCCGCCCGACTACATGGACGACATCGTCATCCCTGCAGCTGATCGACATAACTCAAAATTTTCTCTTGGAAGAGTCTTGGTACACATGTCAAACCCATTTTCGTCAGTATGGATCTTCTCTAGTTGTAACTGCTTCATTTCAAGCACATCTCGAATCTAATGATATCGAACGTCGATATGTTTTGACCGAGCATGAAATAAAGCATTCTTCGCAAGATGAATAGCACTCTGACTATCACAGAACAACTGCGGTCATTCCTGTAGGAACCCAAGTTCTTTCAAGAACTTCTTCATCCATATCATCTCCTTGCATGTTTCTGTTACTGCTATATACTCAACTTCTATTGTGGAAAGAGTTACACACTTATGTAGTCTTGACGGCCATGATATTGCTCCCCCTGATAAGGTAATCTGGTACCCAGAAGTGGACCTCCTCGAATCAACATTACCTGCCATGTCAACATCTGTATAGCCAACAAGGACAGGTTCACCATCTCCAAAACATAGACTCATTTTGGAGCTACCTCGAAGGTATCTGAGGATCCATTCACAGCTTCCCAATGTTCCTTTCCTGGTTTGGAAAGAAACCGACTGATACCTCCAACTGCATGAGCAATATCTGGCCTTGTACACACCATGGCGTACATCAAACTTCCCACTGCTGAAGCATATATAATTTTATCCATCTCCGCCTTTTCCTTCCCAGTAGATGGGCTCTGTTTGGATGTCAATGTAAAGTGGTTAGCAAGAGGATAGCTAACCGCCTTAGCATTATCCATGTTGAAACGTTGAAGTACTTCCTCTATCCCGAACGATCCTAATGCCAAGTATATGCTTTGCTGGTCCCAAGTCTTTCATGGCAAAAGACTTCCTCAACTCCTTCAAATTATGGATCTTTGAGACGTTCTGCCCAGTAATTAGCATATCATCCACATAGAGCAATAATATGATGAAATCTCCATCTGAGATTTTCTTCACAAATACGCAGTGGTCTGAAGTAGTCTTCTTGTAGCCTTGCTCCCCCATAACAGACTCAAACTTCTTGTACCACTGCCTTGGCGCCTGCTTCAAGCCATAGAAGCTCTTACGGAGCCTGCACACATAGTCCTCATTTTTCTCCCTCTTGATGCCTTCTGGTTGCTCCATGTAAATCTCTTCCTCCAAATTACCATGAAGGAAGGCAGTCTTCACATCCATTTGCTCAACCTCCAGATTAAGATTTTCTGCTAGTCCCAGCACAGTATAGATGGATGTCATCTTCACCACCGGTGAAAATATCTCGTCAAAGTCAAAGCTTTTCCTTTGACCGAAACCTTTCATGACTAGTCTTGCTTTGAAATGTGGCTGTCGGTTGTGTTCATCATGCTTGATCTTGAACACTCACTTGTTCTTCAAAGCTCTCTTGCCTTTCGGCAACTTCACCAGCTCAAATGTCTTGTTCTCATACAAGGAATCCATCTCGTCTTTCATAGCTTATGTTCGTCATTCATAGCTTCTGTGAAGCTCTCTGGTTCTCCCTCGTCAGTAGGTGACACATATTCAGTATCTAGATATCTGGTAGAGGGTTGTGTGACCCTACCATATCTCGTTGTTCGAACAGGAGAACCCTCAATGACTTGTGGTTGACCATCTTCATCAGCATCTTCTGGTTGAACCTCAACAGGGGCATCTGGTTCAACTATCTCATGATGATCATGTTGTACTTCTTCTCCAACTTCTGTAGGCATCGTCGTTGGAGGCACTAGCTCAAGGTTTGGCTGGCTAGCATCAGTACTGGGAACTTCTTTTCTAGCAACAACATCTTCGATGGTCTCATTCTCGATGAACACATCATCACGACTTTTGATAAGCTTCTTCTGGATTGGATCATATAATCTATAGCCAACTCATCTTGACCATATCCAATAAATACGCATGGTCGCGTATTGGAATCCATCTTTGACCTTTCATCCTTTAGAATATGGACAAAGGCCTTGCAACCAAACACCCGCAAATGTTTGTAGGAAACGTCTTTCCTGTCCACACCTTCTCTGGGCGTCATACTTCAGTGGCACACTTGGTGACCTGTTCCACGCATAAACTGCTGCAAGTAGTGCCTCCCCCCAGAAAGATTGTGGTAGCTTCGAGTGTGATAACAAGCACCTGACTCTCTTTAGCAGGGTCATGTTCATCCTCTAAGCTAGCCCGTTCAATTGTGGCGTCTTTGGTTGTGTGAATTGCTGCCGAATTCCATGTTCCACTGGCCATTGTGGAAGGTGTTGCAATAACCTTCCTCATCCAACTAGTCTACAGAGATGAGATTCAGGCGCATTTCTGGAAAATGCTTGACATCCTTCAGCAGCATCTTCGTACCATTCATCGTCTCCAAGCAGACTTCTCCTTTTCCGATAACTTTGGAAAGATTACCATTTCTCATTCTTACGACACCGAAGTCACCTGGTGTGTAAGATGAGAAAAATTCTCTCTTGGACGTCACGTGGATGTTAGCACCACTATCAACCATCCAGCTTGTCTCCTGGGTTATCAGGTTGACAACATTTTCCTCGTAGACAATAATGAACTCATCAACAGAGTTTGCACCATCATCATCACTGTTCTCATCTCGTTTTCCCTTCATTCTCTCGTTTCTGAACTTTGGACAAAATCTTCTAATGTGGCCCTTCTCCTTGCAGTGATGACAATGGATGTTGGCAAACTTGTTGGACTTCTCTCGACTCTTGCCTCTTTGCTTTGATCCTCTCGCTTCACTTCTTCCCCTGCTTCTAGAATCCACCGCCAAAAGGTCTGATTGGGAAGATGATGAGGATGCACCTTGTGATCTTTTCCGCATCTCTTCATTCGAAACTCTGCTTTTGACGATCACCATGTTGATAACTCCATCTTTCGTAGAGTTGGTAAGTGAAATTTTTAGCGTCTCCCAAGATTCTGGAAGGGAAGCCAGAACGAGGAGAGCGACGACCTCATCTTCCATCTTTATGCCCATACCGGACAACTGATCCACGATCCCTTGAATTTCGTTCAAGTGATCTGCCAAGGATTTGCCTTCCTTGTATTTCATCTGGACCAACTTGGTCAGATAAAATAATTTGTTGTTGCCGGTCTTTGATGCATAGAGTGCCTCCAGCTTGTTCCACAGAGTTCTGGCATGAGTTTCTCCGCTAATGTGGTTGTATACATTATCGTCGACGAACTGTCGAATGTAGCCACATACTTGCTCATGCTTGAACTCCAATTCCTCTTCAGTTTTGCCATCAGGTTTAGTTGGGCTAAACACTGGCAAATGCAAATCCATCACGAGTAGGAGATCCTTCATCTTGTTTCTCCATATGTGATAATTGGAGCCATTCAAACTTATCATCTTGCTTGTTTATGCCTCCATTTGGACGTGGCTCTGTTACCACTTGTTGGACGCACTGGGTGAGAATAGCGGTTAAATATATTGCACTAATAAATCACACACTTGTAAAAGGTTCACAGGTAAGTTGGACTTGGTGGCAGAGCCTCCAGAATTACGGTAACCAACTTAGATCAATTTACTTCGGTAGTTTAATAATGCAATATACTACGACTATCCTCAAAATAACAAGCATAGACAGTAAGTAAATAACACCGAGGATTTACGTGGTATACCCTGATTTTTGGCCAGTCCACGAGAACAGCAGCTCCGGAGTATTTCTTCACTATAACAATGGTAGGTTACAAAGATTTTCTCGATACAAGAAATAGAACATGCGGTGTTTCCCAAACAACCTCACTATTTCACTCACAAGTAAATCTCTTATCTACCCGTGGTAGTGAAAACGTTTCACTACTAGAACCCACAAGTAAAGAATTGCTCAAAGAGCATACAAAGGAAGGCTACGGAGAAAGAAACGAGAGAGGAAGGATTGGTGTGGGATGTAGAATGAAGCAATGCTAGTTGCCTTTTATAAGCCAATGGGAGACAAGGGAATTGAATTCCCATCTGCTAACTCATCTCCCCAATTGCTGCTTACACTTATGCATTATTTATTTAATTATTTTATTTTCCTTTCACAAATACCACCACCAACCTTGTTAGCCGTTGCCCTGCCACATGAGCCGGGCCCAACAAGTACCTATACCTTCTGTATGTTATATTTTGATACGAAAAAATGTCATTGGAAAATTACCTTTTGGTACATAAAAATTTTCATAATGACATTTTAGTACCTAAGCTTTTTAAATTTTACATTCTGGTCCAAGGCTTGACTGTTATTTGCATTCATGGGTCAATCCACTAATCCATGAATCCACTAGTCCATTTGATCCAATCCACTTAATCCATGAATCCTTTAATCCAATTCATCAATCTATAAATCCAATCCAATTGCCACCTCTACTATCATCATAATTAAAAATCGATCTTATAGCAACACCAATGTATTTAATAGTTATAATGATTGTTTTTATACATCAGTAGTTACGTTGATAAAAAAATGCTTGGCTCGTCAAGCGATCCCAGATAGCAAAATCTCCCCGGCTTTTCAGTTGGATATTAAGATCGGGCTTCCGAACGCAGTGAAGAAGGAATCATCAGCCCAATCATATTCGTGCCCGACTTCGTGGTACGTGGGAGTTCTCAGGTCACAGTTGAGTGTAGCAGATATCCTGAATGTATAGAGAGATGCAGGATACCGCCGAGAAACCCAGCCATTGACACAGTAAGTCAGTGAGGGAGTAGGGGGGGGAGAGAATTGGATTCTTAAAAATTGGCGAAATCGACTTAAGAAAGCATTCTGAAACAAATAACACGGAGCAACCAGAAACATGAACAATGCATAGTTTCTTCCTACTCTTGGCCACTGCCAAATCCATCACGATTCTCTGACTGCCATCCAAAACCTTGTCCATCATGACCACCATCACCTGAATAGTACTTCCCTCGTTTGTTCTGCGAAGGGTGAGGCAATGGGGGCGGCGGAGGCGGGTGAAGATACGCTTGTTGCTGTGGCGCCGCGGACAGTATCCCCTTCCCATCCCTCCCATAATCCATCCCACCACCACCTTCCATCCCCTTAATGCCAGCCGATTGAGGAGAAGGAACCGGTGGCGGGACCCCTGGAATATGTCTTCCATAGTCCCCCTGAAAGAATCCAACATTTACGTTCCCCTGAGACTCCGACGGATTCAAAAAACCCTCCGACATTCCTTGACTTCCAGCTGGCGTCGGACCCATATTCCAAGGAGGCGGGGGATAATTCCCCATGAAGCTCATACCACCCGGTGGGAACCCCAACAACGAACCTTGTTCCGCTCCAGCTTCTGCTCCTGAATCGGGCCTACCAGCCATCTGCCCCATCTCGAAGGGCCCACCGTAGAAGGGCTGACCTCCATCAGGTGGTTGAAATGGAGAGAGGCCGAATTGGGGAGGAGGCATCATCGGAACTAGAAAATTTGGTCGGTCGAAACCTGGAGGACGAGAGCTGTCGCTCTGTGGATCTGCAGACAGGTAATTAGGGCCTTGTCCATAAAATGGTGGTGGCTTGGGCATCATAGGCCTTTGAAGTGGTTGGTGTTGTTGTTCTCTAGGTTGCTGCCTACTGCTACGAGCTTTCTCTTCAGTATCAAGAAGCTGAGAATTCGAACCGGTCCTTGGGGGAGCTCGAGCAGTCGACTCGGTTGGTGCAGGTTGTTTAGCACTCTGGACCTCTGATTCGTTGTCAATGTCATTCTCTGCAGTTGGCTGTAGAAGGTCTGTGTGACTCTTGTGAATGTGAGACTCGAAGTCGGTTCGTTTCAGGAAAGACTTGAGACAATGAGGAGCTGCACAGATAAAGATGCCCTCCATGATTTTGATTGTTTGAATCTTCTGAATGCGCTCGTCACATCTACGTTTTTGCAGAGAAGACATGGAAATAAAAAATTAGGAGGGATATGAGGATATCACTTTGCAAATGACTCATGAGGCTACTAGCCATATCAAACAATTTCAAACTAGCGTACCAGATTAAGACATTCAAACTATTTTTTATAAATAATCAAGACATTCATCAAAATTAGCTCCGGATAAGATGAAGATTCCAGTCATTAATTTCTGATCAATGCAAGCTAATCTATATGACATAATAAGATCAAAGCTCAAGGACAAGCGGGCAAAACATGGAAAAACAAAGAGCTAGGGAAAATCTATACTTCAACTAGTTTCACCTCCGAGATAGTTGAACAACAGCAGATTGATATATACATTCTTAAATATTCTGCGTATTGATTATGGTCCAAAATTACACTTCAAAACAAGACCATCAACATATGCAGCTAAAGCAAATGCATATACACTTACAGGTAGCAGATTGAATCACTCCTAGCACAGTCAAGACAGAATGCATGCTCGCAAGGGCTCTGCAGAACAGACACTTGTTAGAAAACAGAAAATTTCAGTCAAACAAACCACACCAACAACACTTACTGTGCGAAGCCACTGAAGTTAAAATGCATGCATACAACAAAAATGCACAAACCAGTTAGCTATACAGAACTTCGTCATGGTAGCACATTCCAACTTGGAATCTGTTGAACTTCTGTAAAGCCTCCCCACACTGAAATGAACTCGACTGCCACAGCCACTAGGGACCATCTAGTATGAAGCTTTGAAATATAGAGTCATAGCACTAAACCTGGACATATCTCTATGCAAGTTGAACGCCATAATGAAATATGAAAAATGCTCAAGGTTACACATCGACAGAGAACTTGGAAAACGTAGAAACCAAGGAAGGATCCAGAGCCATCATTTTTGCTGCTAGCAATTGAGTTCACATGCGAACACAATCAAGAGAAATGGGAAAAACGGCAAAAGAAGTGTTCGAAAAGGCAAACGGGCACCAAAAGTCGTAATCAAAGCATACCAGGCGACCATAGATAGCGATTGGAAAATCACATCGGACGCAGAAGTGCACTCGCTCTCCGAGCTGGCGACGGGACCTCCGGCCGGCATTCTTCACCACAGTAGCGGCGGTGGCTGCTCCAATGCCCTTGGCTACGGGAAGATCAGCAAGGACAAGGTGGTCAGGGCAAGCAACGGTGACGGTCTCAACCGGAAGAGACTTTATTGCCGCCCCGACATCAGAAGTCTGCTTCTTTAGTTGAATTCGAAGCATCTTTTGACCTGCGTTCTTGGCTGCACCAACCGGGCCCGATTTCACAAATCAGTTCGGCATAAAATTTGCAATTGGTAACTGAAACGTGAAATCAAAGCTTCGAATGATTCGATAGATAGCAAGAATCTTACGACGAAGGAGACGAAGCGGGTGCCGGTGAGTTTCTGATCGTGGACACTCACGGCGGCCGGCGTTCCGTCTTTTTTGCGAGTTCTTCTCTGCCGAGGGGGAACCGAAGGAGGGGGGTGAGATTTGAGAATCGGAAAAGTCCGAAACGAGCCGGGTCGGGGTTGATCCGCAATTTAATGTCAGGCCTTTACTAACAAGGATAAATTACAACATTATCACTAGAATTACGGTTAAATTACACGTTTGGTCACTCAAATTATATAAATTTTTCATGTTTTCCACTCGAATTATTTCTCTTTCTTATTTGACACTAACTTTACAAATCATTTCACCGTTACTCGCCGGTCGTTACTCTCCGTCAAACTCCGTTAACTCCGTCAGTTTTTTGATGATAAGGCAAACAGAATTGCTGACTAAACCGTTAACTTGATGACATGGTAATTTAAAAAAAAAAACAAAAAAAAAAAAAACAGGAGGAGTGCTCCCACCCTCCCTCCCTCCCTCGTCATTCAGTCCAATCTCCCCCACCCAGAACATCGCATCCTCCACCACCGGCCCGTACGCCGCCGACAACGCAGTTCCTTTACAACCTTTCCTCTCAAAGAACTCGTCGAACCAGCAGAGCTGGGTCTATATGGACTCGGGAGTGTTGTCCAGCGTCAGGTTGTTCCTCGTGAAGAAAACGTGGTTCATCGCAGTCGCCCCTCCGATGGTGAAGTTGAAGCCGCTCTTCGCTTCCCGACGGTGCCCCTGTAGGGAGGGAGGAGGGAGAGGGGCTGGGCGACAAAATCAATGACGAGGTCGGCGGCGGAGTAGCGGTTGCTCAAACCATGCAAGTAAATGGAGTCGTAGGGCGGGACGTGGCCGAAGAAGACAACGACCTTATGTTGCCTGTGTCGATAAAGCAGTCTCTCGAAGGCGCAAATATTTTTGCAGGGCTGCTGTCGGGGCGGAGCGGCGGCGGGGATTGAGTAGAAGAGAGTAGTTCGACGTCGGCGATTGAAGAGGTTCTCCACGATCGAAAGTGAAGGAAGTGAAGAGGAAATAAGCGGAGGAGAACCCCTATTCCAAAACCCGCCATAAACCCAATCCCTCGTCCCGATTTCCACCTTCAAAAGAACTCCAGCCCATCGCAATTTTCACCTTCGACAAAAAACCCCAGTCTCCCGTCGATTTTCACCTTGGAGTTGCGACACTGGTGGGTGAATTTGAGAAAACACAACCGATTGGAGTTCAATTTTCCAGGTTTGCCGCCGCCGCAATCAATTATCTCCTTGCAAGTGATATCGCCCGACTAATTAGAGCTTCTTGTTTGGGAGCTTGTTTTGGGATTCTGGAACTAGTGGTGACGGGAAGCAAGGGTTTTTCCTCCAATGGTGATTTTTGCAGTAGTGGATGAAAGACGACGACTTGGAATGTGATGGGTTTTAATTTTATTTCTCTTTTTAGTCCTTAAAATATAAAATAATATATTTTGGTCAATTGGGTTGGGTGAAGCTGATTAGGTGGTCAACTTGTATGACTCAGCAGTTTTGTCATTCTAGTCAGCACTTCCGTTTGCCATGTCATGAAAAAAATCTAACAACGTTAACGGAGACTACGATCGGCGAGTAACAGTGAAACGAATCGTAAAGTTAGTGGCTAACATGAAAGAAAACAGATTCGGGTGGCAAATGTGAAAGATTTATATAATTTGAGTGACTAAACGTGTAATTTAGCTCTAGAATTACTTTAAAAATTCACCTTTGCGACTAAAATTATTTTATTCTAGTCACTAAAATTATTTCAACAGCTCAAGTTTGGTAACTGACCATTAGTCTCCGTCAGACTCCGTTAACACTGTCAGTTAACTCTTGATGTGGCTAACGAAAGTGTCTAATCAGCAAATTTTAAACCAAAAATAATATAACCCAACCCGCCACATCAGAAATCCAATGAACCAACTCAACCCCTCACCCAGTCTCAGTTCTTGACCATTCCTCTCCTCTCCTCGGTTCCTCTTCCTATTTCTTCATTGCAATTAAACTCGGCGATGTTATGGGTACGAAAGATTGTTGAGACCCCTTCTTCTTCCCGTCTTTCTTCATCGGAGCCTAGTCACTGGGAGTGGATTTGCCGGCTAGAACTGAGAGTTCGTTGGATTCGAGCCTTGGAGCTTTTATCATCCACTTCCTCCTGACGAGCAATAATTGGAACACGAGTGCTCCGACAGTTGATTCTCCGGCGATACATTGTAGAAGGTCGTCGTCAATAGGAAGAGATTCGTAGGTCGCTCGTCGCTGCAACCATGACAGGGGGACCGGTGGCCTAGCCGCCGTTGGGTTGGAGGAATTTGGAAACTCTATATTTGCGTTCTTTCTCTTCTCTCTCCGATTCGCCGTTGAGTGAGAAAGGAAGGCGGCTGAAGGAGTTGGTGACTAAGCAAGGGAAAGTGAAGTAGGGATCTATTTTGCAGTCCCGGATCTTGGCGTTTGCAGGCCCTAGAGCTTTGAAATTTTCATTACATCTAAAAAATTGATAATTGTAATCGGCCATCTTCCCAAATAAGAACACTGCCTTAACTCTTCTCGACACCACAATCTTTTCTTCGATCTTTATGTGCTTCATCTTCACCCCTTACCTAGGAAAAATCGGGTTCAGTTTCTCCCTTCAGACCTTCCCTGCATCGAACTCCCCCTTCTCCTTCGCCGTCCTTCAGGAAATCTCCGATTGCGATAGATGTTCAAGGAGCTCCATCGAGTACTTGAACATGATGTCATATTGGATCAGGGAGTGTCGGGGGACGACACAGAACAAGTGAATCTTCTTTTCCGCATCTTCACTTTTATGTGCCCTGGCGATGTCATCACTGGTGGAAGGGTCAAAGATGGCGGGGTTGGCATAGGAATTGGAGTAGGAGTGGAAGAGTTCACAGAGGTAGAAGTCGTCCGAAGTTCTCCTTGAGGATGGGCTAGGACGGCGACAACTGGCGGCGGTAGAGGTGAAAGAATGGCCTAGAAAGAATCCTATTCATGTGCAGAATAGAGTACATGTTCGATTCACGGTTGGGTTGTTTTTGGGTTTTTATGACGTGGAGGGTTATAATTTTTTGGGGTTTAAATTTTCTAATTATGCATTTTCGTTAGTCACGTCAGTAGTTAACTGATGGTGTTAACGGTGTCTGATGGAGACTAATGGCCAGTGACCAAACTTGGACCGTTGAACTAATTTTAGTGACCATGATGGAATAAAATAATCTTCGTGGTAAATGTGATTTTTTTAGTAATTCTAGTGACCAAACTTGCAATTTACCCGCTTTTTTAAATAACGAGATAAACAACGGACCATATAGGGGAGAAATGGTTTGGTTGCCGCTAAACTTTCACAATAAGGGTCGGGTACCCCTCAACAACCATTAGGGCCTCGGATACCATCCAAGTCCATAAGTCATTATCTCGTTCAACTTTTCCATTAAGGTCACCATCGGGGCAAAAAAAAAAAAAAACGGAACGGCCACCTCAGCGCTGATTGGGTCCCACCTGGCTGTTGAGTAATCTTTGGTGAAGAAATTCCTGCCAAAATTCTTATGCTAGCTCCATTAAATTCTTATGCATGAGTTAAGCATGGCATCGTAAACGTGTTGTGTGAACAAAATAATACCATAACATGTTTGCTTCAAGATGTTTAGGAGGTTCATATTCCTACCAAAATAACACATTCTAGGACAACATGTGTTCGGCTCAGAAAATGTACTTGGCTAAGAGTTTAAGGTGTAGCCACATGATTGGCTACTACCAATGCCACAAACCATTAAGCTAACAACCTACATTACTGACACGCTACGACACAACACCAAACTGCGACCAAGTGTAATCGCAGTCCAGGAATGCAGTAAAGTGCCAAGTTCTAATTATCAACCCGGGGTCCAGATCTACTGCCTACTCCGCGTATATCTGTTATCTAGAAAACTAAGTCGATTGATCGTTATTTTAACTAAAAGCAGTAAGAAAGCAGGAATTGGTTCGGTTTTCTGAAGCAAGGAAGAGTCACTCGGGAATGAGTCCCCCTAGCTCCTTAGTTAGGTCTCAGTTGTAATTACCCTCGGTTGATTTACTGTTGATTAGACTGTGGAAGATCCGACAGTAGCTTGGAATCTCTTAAGCTGACCAAGCCCTCTCAGTCTAACTACCCGGCAGACGACTAGTCTTCACCGGGATAGAAAGCTGAAGCAATAAGCACAAAACTCCACTACTGGAATTGGATTCCAGTACAAAGCAGTAGACTGACTAACTCTCGTATAGCCAATCTACTACTACCGAATGAAGAAGCTCTAACAACCTAATCAAATTCTATCTATCTCAGGTTGCAGCAGAAATCAAGAAAAGCTGATCAGACTTCAATTAATTCAATGAATCATGCATCATTCGATTAAAACCAAACAGTATAGCAATCCCAAGTCATTACAATCATGATCCCTAACACATGGAACTATGGTTCTTCATACCCAAGTGAAAGAGGGTTCTACTCCATAGAGAGAGAGAAAAACAGAATACAAAGCAGTCATACTCATAACAATGGGAAGAATCTGCTCTGGGATGATGATTTTCACTCCTATGATGATCTCCAAGCTCGATTTGATGAAACCCAGCTCCAAGATCGCTTCTAGGGTGAGTTCTTCGTACTTTCTCTCTCTAGGGCTCTGTTTTTGCTCTCAAAAGTCGATCCCCTCACTTGTGGCTCGAAATTGGGTTAAAACCCAGAATTCCCGACTCACACGGGTAGGCCACACGGCCGTGTGGCTTACCCAGCTGCCCGTGTGAGTGTCAAAATGCGGCGTTTCGAATAAATGAACTTCAGGCTACCTACATGACCAGAGACACACGGCCCTGTGGAATCTCCAGTATGCCCGTGTGAAGCCTCGCCAAGTCCCACACGGCCACATGGGTTGTTTACATGGTCGTGTGGGTTTTAGGAGTGCCCGTGTGGCTTCCTCAGCGTCTCGCCACACGTCCGATCTTCGTCCAATCGACCTTGAACTCGCTCCCAAACCTTGATTCACGTACTAGGACCTGAAATATCAAAAACAAGAACAACCTAGCGTGAAATCGGTCTAAAACATGAGAATCAACATCTCAAACGACTCAAGAATAGGGTTAAAAACATGTGTATTTAACGGTCTATCAATTACAAAGAGCAGAACAGACCTAACATCACAAATTTCCTCCACGGGCTCCCTTTCCTCTTATGCTGCAATTTCCTCTTTGCGTCACAAAAGTTGCCCTTCCACTTCCTTGCCTAGCCTAGACTCGTTAGAATACAGAATTAACACACTGGGAGAAATAAATAATATTAAGAAAAAGATAATGTCACTAACCCAGAACCTGAGATTAGGTGTCGTAGTAGATGAAACATTCACAGCTCTTTGACTCACACGAAACTACACCACAAATTAATTCCGAGTACAGCCCAAGTGTTTAGACTCTAGTCGGATGCAGTATAGAGCAAGTATTTAAATTGTCAACCCGGGCCGATCCATGCACCCCTACTTCAATCGCTTAGGTTGTTATCTAGCAAACAACTTTTGGGTTTAAATCTAATGAAACTACAAACTAAACAAGCAAAGAAAAGTAAATAAAGGAAAATTCTAACTAAGGGAGCTTCACCCAGGAGTTGCTTCCCCTAACTAGCTACCGTGACTCGATGGATTGAAACGATTTCTAAGGGCAAGGTAACCGCGAACCGCAGAGGGATGCATATATGGTCGTAGACCACAATCTCAATTGCTAAACCGAGGTGAACATTATGGTCGTGTCACTCGGTCCTCTCAGTTTAGGCAATCGGTAGTTGACTTACTCCGTCACTCAACTCAAGGGTCGGATGGTTTAATCTCGCTTAACCAATTTGCTTAATTCAACATTGAGGTTTGCCCTGAATTAACCTAGTTAGGTGGCTTAAAAAGCTAAAGAAAAACCAACTCGATTGAGTCTCCCTTGGAAGGGGGATTTTCCTCTCTAAGCTAGGTTAAAGTGGCTAATTAGATTGCAAAGCACCAACATGCACAAACCTAAGGATGCTTAGCACAAAACATGCACAATCCTTAGGTTGCTAAGCACAAGCATGCACAATCAACATGAATAATACCTCAATCATTGGATTATACAATACCCATAAACAATCATTCAATCTAAACAAGTAATTACAAAGTATTAGTTAGGGATGTACAACACCCAAGAGAAAAGAGTGAGTTTCTAGAGAGAGAGAGAGAGAGAGGGATTACAAATTTGAGCTCAAGATCTTCTTCTTCTTCTAGGCTTGAATCTCCACCCAAGCCTCCAGTGATGCTCCAAGATTACTCTAGCACTCTCTCTCTCTCTCTCACTAGAACTCCTCTTTGGTGTTTTTAGGCAAACCCTAGAGAAAGAAACCAATTCTTCTCCAAAAACCAGCTCCCTTTTCTCTCTCCCCACTGTTGTCTTCATATTTGCCCGAAAGCGATCAGGTCACGCACTCGTTGGCCAGTTCGTGGCCGTGAACACCTAAACGCGTCCGTGAACTCAGTCGTCTCCAAAAGGCAGTGCCTTGTTTCCTGGTTTCACGGTCAATGGCCACAGTTCACAGTCTTAGAGACCGTGAACTGCCTTGTCATCAGTAACTTCAGGAACCTCGCTGGACGACTCGGTGTTCACGGTTTGTGGTCGAAGTTCACGGTCTTAGGCCTCGTCCGGCCGTGAACTGCGGTTGTTTCCTGGGACGCCTCCACTTCACTGTTACAAGGCAATTGTCACGGTCTTCGGACTTTTCTTCGGTTTTTGCACTTTTTGACCTCCAATTATCCCAAAATTCGACCTCGACCCTTCCACACGTGCTAGGACCTGAAATGTATTAAAACAAACACAACCTATTGTGAAATATGTCGAGGAACAATGAAATACTAAGCTAAATGAATAAGAAATGAGGGGTAAAATGTATACATTGAGCCCAAATCACTCTTTCATTATGCAACTGATTCAAGGGACGAAAAATACTAGTTTCCTATACAAACCAAAAAACAAAACCAAGACCCTTAGGTAAAGGAAGACAAGAGACAACAATGTTCATTCACTTCAAAATGCTCGAAAGTGAAGGAAAGACTGTTTACCCTTGAACTTACAATAGTTCCAGAATCATGAAAAGGAGTGATCAAAAGAAACGAGTTTCTGTTCTTGCTAGGTTCGAATGCCTTCCTTCTTATTTTTTGGTTGGTGTCATTCCAGAATACCAAACTTCAGCAGTGACTTCAACTACTGGTTGAGACTCCTTAGTTTCCCCTTATGCTGGTTGTGATCCTCTACCGACTCTACCTCCTAGTTGTGACCTTCCACCACCTCTAGCATTGTTGGAAAAGGCTGGTTCATTTTTATCCTTATGTGAACTCTTGTTGTGCCCCTTTCCACCACACACACTATAGTTAATTTTGCCCTTCTTATTCATTTGTTGGTTGTTACCCTTATGTTTTTTGTGTTTTTTCTGTTGGCGCTTCAGTTCCTCCTCAAGACCCTTCCTGCTATTTATCCTATGCCTACCCCTTCTTGACTTTACATATGTACTAACATAGGGCAGGAAAACATGATCTTGATTGGCATCTCGCCATGATTCAGGCCGAACCATAGGTGACAATGTGTAGTTGTAAGTACTAATGTAGGTTGTCACTTCATAGCACTTATAAACATATTTTTCAACCTTTTGTCGCTAAAAAATATGCAACAAACAGCTTGTGGAAAAGGAATTCCCATCAGCTGCCATTTCCTACATGTGCAAGTGTGTTTTTCAAGTTGACCATGACTTGCCCTTCACGAAAGCTAACCTCAAATGAATTAGCACCACATGACAGTGCTCCACATCCAAACCTAGCCTCCTTAGTCGCATTTATTTTCTTTAGGATTTTTTGGCAGAATTGACCCTTGAAGTTATTCACAACATACTCTTTTTTCCTGTTAAACCTAACCAGCAATTAACAACGAATTGTCTCGAACATGTTAATAATTGGCTTCACCCTAGATCCTAAAATTGACCTATTCCACAACTCATTTGTCTCAACGAATATGGTGACCCCGGATGGCTTTGTTACATCTCAACACATTATTCAAGCAGTTGAACATACTAATCTTCTGCCTTCCCTCGTACCAAAGTCATCGCATACTCTTGTGCCTTCCTTGCTCTCCATCTCGACGCTCTGTAGCGAAAATCTTCTTCCACCGTCTATATGCTATTGAGTCATTACCCCATTTAGGATCTAATTCAAACCTCAGAAAATACTTCCTAGCAATGAACTTGTAAGTGAACCATTTGTTTCGAGATAACGGAACACATCCTTCGTATTTCAGATTGCATGCTTTGATATAAACTCTTGTCCCAACTTGAGAAGGAGATGCCCAAATATTACAAGCACAATTCTTATCATAGAAAACATGAACTCTTGTCGGATCACTATGGACAAACCTAAAAGGTAACTTGTTCCTGATTGAATAACATATCACAGCATCCTTGAAGGTCTTCAAGTCCCTAAATATTTGCTCCCGACATGTGACCATCAGAACCACCCAATCCATCAATCTCTGACCTGACAACTGGATCAACCTTCATATTGGTTGCCGATTTGGTTACCTTCGTTGCCACTTTCTTGATGATATACATCTCTATGAATTTTCTCCCTTCGATCACCATTTTGCACATAGTTAGCAAGTCTTGATCACCCTTTAACTCCACCATCCCTTCCTTCATACTCTGTCCCTTCGCTCTATTGGAGTAAGAATAGTTATTCTTAACCCAAAACTATTCTACGTTTTTAGACTTAATTTGCTCTAGATATCCTACGTCATATAGAAAACCATCTAACTCTAAGATTGACATCAAATCAAGGTCAACCCAATCCCATTGGTGAACTTTTCCTCCAAATTAATAGCCAATGTCGTCTAATATATAATTCATATGTCCATCATAGTACAGTTCATTGGTGAACTTGTCTTCACAAATGCCTAAAACATAAACAACCATAGCTATAAGAAGACAAAACTAGTTTATTGTTTATTCACGCTTTAGCACAAATCAACATAGAATATACAAATGGCATGGCATTACTTGATGGAAACAACCAAAGTAGTCATCGATCACTTCCATACAAAATGCTTCAAAGTGAAAACACATGGACCACTTACATACCGTACAGAATAAAATTCAACTACCAAAAACTCTATGGGACCACTAACCCTACACAATCAAACAAAGCAATACAGGATACCACTATCCAATCATTTCTTCCCTAGCAAGACATGAAACGCTAAAGGAGACATAAAAGAACAAACCCTTAACGTATGCAGGAAGAGAATCAAGAGAAGTTGACTCGCTTACCAAAAAAGTCATTTAAAACGTATCAATTTGAATTACCTGCCCAACTCTAGACAATTGTAATTGCCTCAAACGAGTCAATTGTCAATTTTCCCAGGCCAATTTGTTCCATCCATATTTTATTATGCCAAGCGAGTCAATTTGGCGCAATTGTCTCAAAACAAGACAATTATGTCAAATTGATCCGTTAAAATTCCTCATCTGAACGACTCGTAAATTCATTGATGATTTTTTTTGCAATAGTAAATTCATTGATTAAGAGTAGAGTATAACTAAAAAATTTATGAGTTTGGCATTTTGTAGATGGGTTTGGACAGTGGCATAGTCAAGAATTTTGCTAAGGTGGGTAAACCAAACATAACATTACTTACATTAACCTTTTACAATGTTTCACAACGTGTTTTCATAATATCAAGTACATAAAATAAATTTATCATCCAAACTATCGAGGTTCTCATTCTCAATGTAACCAACCAAAAAATCGTTCATGATATCATTAATCATCCTATTTCGAAGTGTGTTCTTCATATAGCTCATGGCAGAAAAATGCTCTTTCAAAACCTGTGGTGGCAATAGGAAGCAACAATGTCAATTTCATAAGTTGGTAGATTAATGAAAACAATCGATATTTTTTTACACACCCATTTTTCTAGAAAGCTCGACAATTCCCTTTAATCCTACAAATCTCTCAAACGTCTTCATAGAAAAAAATGGCTAAATTACACGTTTGGTCACTTGAATTACATAAATCTTTCACGTTTACCTCCCAAATTATTTTTCTTTTTTATTAACCACTAACTTTACAATTCGTTTCACCACTAGTCACCGACCGTTAGTCTCCGTCAAACTTCGTTAACACCGTTAAATTTTTATAACGTGGCAAACAGGAGTTTTGAATAAGCTGACAAAAAAGGTGAGTCATGTTGTTTGACCGCCTAGGCGCCTAGTAAGCACAACCCGACCTAGAAAAAAAAAAACAAAAAATACCCCACAATGCTTCTTCCCCTCTCTTGATTTTCCCAGGGAAACACCCTCCTCCTGCCACCTGCGCCTCTACCTACCTTGCCTCTACTCTTCGTTCAGGTGCATCTCCATTCCATTTCATCAATCCCACCTTACCTTACCTCTAATCCCACCTTCAAGGCGCCGGCCTCATCGTTTCCCATCGTGGTAATTAGGGTTTCCTCCCCTTGTCTAAAGATCATTCAATAAAAATAAATTAGATCGAGAGAATGGTGCATGCAAGATCGAACTCAAGCTCAAAATTTCTCAGAGCACCAGCAATCCTCTGTACGTTTCTCGGGAGGAAAACCAAACCAGAAAACCTGATTGAATGCCCGACTAGGTTAGTATATGTCAGTCTTCTTCATCCAACATCTGAATAGTTTCGGCTGGTTAGAATGGGTTCAGAGAAGGGAGAGCCCTGAATTCGATCGATGGCGCGAAGAGGGCACATAAATTCTATTTAAAATACTTGTTGGAGAATGAAGAATAGGAGACCTGAGACACTGTTATTCCTTTCCCTTTTCGCTTCGAGGTCGACGATATCCTTGTTTTCTCTTCCGCTGTGTCTCGGATTAAACAAAGGGGGATGAAAAAACAAAGCAGAAAATAGTTGCTCGACGTTGGCCTGGCAGAAATAACTCTGACGGTGAGACAGCAGAAGATAAGATTTGAGGTTTTCGGGAAACTTGAAAGAAGAGGAAATTGGTTTTGGATTTGAAAATTTAGTGAAGATACGCTAACGGGAAAAGATGAGATCAAATGCTAGCAAGGGAGGGTATATCGCCCTGGGAAAATCGAGAGAGGAGAAGAAACAATGGTGGAGGCGAGGGGCGAGTATTTTTTTATATTGTTTTTAGTTTTTTATTTGGCTAGGTTGGGTTGTGCTGATTAGGAGGTCAAATAAATTTTTTGTCAGCCCAGTCAGCATCTCGTTTGCCACATCATCAAAAATTTGACGGCGTTAACGGAGTTTAACGGAGACTAATGGCCGGTGACTAGAGGTGAAACGAATTGTAAAGTTAGTAGTTAATCAGAAAGAAAAGTAATTTGGGTCGGAAACGTGAAAGATTTATGTAATTCGAGTGACCAAACGTGTAATCTGTCATCTTTGGATGTAAACTGTCATCTTTGGAGAACTCCTTGGCAAACACATTTTCGAAGATAATGTCTTCTAATAATATCTTGAACATTATGATGAAATAACGATAGTTGTTCTCTTAGGCATGGATCAGATTTCAAAAAGTTCACATCAGGTTCATTTTCTTAAGATGCAAGGGTAGACATAGAGTGATTTACTAAGAGTGGTTGTGACACTGATGGCGTTGCTTTTGTTAAATCTAAACCCACTTTCCATCCATCCCGCACATAAAAAACCAAATCAATGTCAAATTTTGTTATATAACGGACTCCCTAAACCTTATGAAAAACATTTATATTGTGAGATTGTACATTAGACGTTATTTACAACTATAATGTGATAAATCAATAATGGCACTACTTATAAGTTTAACTATTTATTATGATACCTAAATTCATGGCTTGTCGCGCATGGAGGTTTTCGTGCTAGTAGCTATAACTTGTTGGTGGAAATTGACAGCCCAAAGGGGTGCAACCGACCTCACTTGGCTGCCCTTGGCTCCGCCACTGAGTTTGGATAGGGTATGTGTATTGCTTCCATACTCTAAATGGGCATGGGTTGGGTATGCATGCTCATTTACTTGATTTTGTTTTAACAACATATACAAAATTGGACCTATTTGTAAAAACTTAAAAAATTTAGGTATCAAAATGTAAGACACAAACATTTTAGGTACTAATATGTGATTTTCCATCTATATTTCAGGACTTATACATAAAAAATAGGTACTAAATCTAAAGAACTATTAAGTTTAGATACCAAATTGTAATTTGCATGTAGGTATGTGTACAATCAAACTCATGAATTAAAATTCCAAATAAATGGCTATTGATGCAAACTGCAAACCCATCTGACTCTAGCCATTTACCTTGTAGTTGGGTTGGATAAGCAAATACTCACAAGTTTGGGTGAAATTGTCATCTCTAGGCGAAATTGTCATCTCTAGGAACATATCTCTATTTGACTTAGCACAAGTTTTCTCACCCTTTTTCAATTGATTATCCTCTAATTCCTACTGCAATAGTCAAATTTATATAGAGAATGATATAAAATTCTATTGAGTTTTTTCAACAATTCAAATGAATTTTATAAAAATTATATTAATCTAGAGCCTATTTCTCTGTATTTTTTTTTATCTACACATAATATAATACGCCGAAGGGAAAAACGGGAGCCCCATTTCAAATTTCCTGCAACGAGAGTGAAAGTAGGAAGGACATTTTGGTCTTCACAATACATTTTTTTTATTCATTAAAAAGATACGTACTGGGATTTGAACCATGACCATTTTAAAGAAAAGCAAGGATAATAACCAATCACACTAAGCATATTTGTTGTATCTTTTTAAATTAAAAACATATAATAGCAAGGAGGAAAAAACCCTTCCTCCATTTCAAATTCTCTGCTCCATGAGCGTTTGTAGGAAGGGTAGAATAGGGAGTGTCAATTATTTTTCTCTTTCCTCTGTGGAACGGGCCAACTTACCGTACACATGTGAATTTAAACGGGTCCAGGAGTGTCAATTTTTTTTTCTTTAAGCCGTTTTATTTCTCCGTGGTGACAAAATATATATGAAAAGGTAAAAATAATACTCCTTTTTATTGTTAAAAATAAAATATCTACACATAATATAATACGCCGAAGGGAAAAACGGGAACCCCATTTCAAATTTCCTGCAACGAGAGTGAAAGTAGGAAGGACATTTTGGTCTTCACAATACATTTTTTTTATTCATTAAAAAGACACGTACTGGGATTCGAACGATGACCATTTTAAAGAAAAGCAAGGATAATAACCAATCACACTAAGCACATTTGTTGTATCTTTTTAAATTAAAAACATATAATAGCAAGGAGGAAAAAACCTTTCCCCCATTTCAAATTCTCTGCTCCATGAGCGTTTGTAGGAAGGGTAGAATAGGGAGTGTCAATTATTTTTCTCTTTCCTCTGTGGAACGGGCCAACTTACCGTACACATGTGAATTTAAACGGGTCCAGGAGTGTCAATTTTTTTTCTTTAAGCCCTTTTATTTCTCCGTGGTGACAAAATATATATGAAAAGGTAAAAATAATACTCCTTTTTATTGTTAAAAATAAAATATTTAACAATAAACTAATGCATGGTATTGGTATCTAATGGGCTAACCGCCAACCATAAAATAAAAGACTTGAATGTGCCTGACCTACATGGGATTTGGCCATCAAGTAAAATAAATGAACATCATTGGTTTGTCATTCTAAAATAAGCTAATTTCTCTGACATAATATATATTATGCTATTATTTTATATCTTAGTGGCTAAAATATAATGTATTTTAAAGTTATTCAATGGTTCAACCTCGACCAACACAATTAGTCCAATTTTTATCATTTCAAATATTATTTTATAATGATTTGATATCATAATGATCAAATTATAGTGTATTTTATAGAGAATCGTTTGGTAT